ATGTTATTTTTTACTTGTAGCTCTCTTCTTTGACTTTTTACTTCAAAACATTTATCTTTAACAGAGAATAACAAAAAAAAACTGATTTTGTGAAAATCCGACGAAAGGTCATTTAAATTTTAATGACATTTTTTACTTAAAATAAACCATTTTGTAGTGTGGAACTTGAAAGTAAAATAACTAAAAGTCGATAAAAAAAATGAAAAATTCATTTGTTAGTATAATTCAAAGTAGTGACATTTCTAAAAAAAAATGTTCTGTGTGTATTTATGATTACAGATGTATGGAAGGATAGATGTTGTGGTGTCCAATGCTGCAGCCAACCCTTCCATTGAACCAATTCTGAATACTAAAGAATCCATCCTTGACAAACTGTGGGAGATCAATGTGAAAGCCTCTATCTTACTCTTGCAAGTAAGCTTTAATTGTATCAGGCCGCAATACAGTGTATTTTATTTTGATTTTAATTGTATTTTACTCTGGTCATTTCTTACCATTTTACTCAAATTATTTCTCATTATACCATTCTTCATTTAAAAAAAAACTTGTTCTTGATAGGAAGCAGCTCCTCACCTACAAAAAGGTTCATCTGTTGTTTTCATTTCTTCTATTGCTGGCTACAATCCTCCTGCTGCAATGTCAATGTATGGAGTGACCAAAACTGCTCTTTTCGGGCTCACTAAGGTACTATCTACTACTTTCGGTTACACATATATTTGCCCATCTTTTTATATGGTTTTTTGGTGTTTTTATTGGGAGAATTTGGCTTTGCACCCCATTTTTGGGCTATATTATATTTTACACCCCATTTTCACAATTATTAATGTGTGCACCCCATCAACCCGAAAAATGTGAAGGAATGGGGGTTCAAAGTAAAATGGTTATATACTAAATGGGGTGCACGCATTAATAATTATGAAAATGGGGTGCAAAGTCCAATATCGCTCAAATAATGGGATGCGCAGTCAAATTCCTCTGTTTTACATGGGAAAATACAATTTAGTTATTTAAAACACATAGCATTGAAGAGTTATTTAATACCATATTTAGTACTCCCTCCGTTCTCTAATAGATGGGAGTATAGCCTTTGGCACAAGTTTTAAGAAGGAATTAATAGGGGTAAGATAAAAGGTGTAGTGGGTTGTGTGTAAAGGAAAAAGTAGGAATGAGAATGAAAAAGTAGGAAAGAGAATGAGGGTATATAGGTATATTTATTGAAAAAACTTTCTAAAAATGGAAAGAGAGACATGTATTGGAGAACATCCCAAAATGGAAAGAGGGACATGTATTAGAAAAGAGAACGGAGGGAGTACTATGTATTACTACTATGTATTACGGAGTACTTAATTTGGTCATGAACTTTCTTTCAGGCCAAATTTTGTACTAGACTTGCACTTTGGACTCATCTCATTTATCATTCAAATTTTACAAAAATGATGAATTGATGAGTGGTTATGTATATACGAAGTACGTAGTATATGTTAAGGACTAAATTGTGTATAACTTACATTAATGAGAACCAACTTGAGTCCTAAAAGTTGGGTCTAATTTTAGTGAACAGAATGAAGTAATTTTCTTAAATTGAACTAATCTCAATTTGCATAGTCGAGTACCAAACTGACTCCTTAAAGGTGGGCTAAATTGAGTAAATAGTACATGTTCCAAGGATTAAACCGGGATTCAAATTTTCTATTGAATGAGTAGTGTAGTGTGTTTATCAATAAAGACATATATAGAATTAAAAAAATAAGTTATCATTGATTTAAAAAGTTTAAGATAAACAGTAATACTCTATGTACTTGACATTTCTGTCATACTGAATGTTTTTTGTCTTTTCTAAATTTCACTAAACTGTTGCTGATGATGATCTTCAGGCAATTGCTGCTGAACTGGCCCCAGACACTAGAGTAAACTGTGTAGCACCTGGTTTTGTGCCCACAAATTTTGCTTCTTTTATAACAGAGAGCAAGGAAATTGTGAGTTTGCAATTACAAAGATCACGTCCATCATAGTTTGTACCGAGTTTACCCTTACTACACAAACTTATTTTGCATTGTTTTATCAGAGGAAATCTCTTGAGGAAAGTACACATCTGAAGAGGCTAGGAACAGTGGATGACATGGCAGCTGCTACTGCTTTCTTAGCGTCTGATGATGCCTCCTACATTACTGGAGAAGTTCTTGTAGTTGCAGGGGGACAGCCTTCAAGACTCTAAGGCTCCATTTCACAGAACATCCACAACAACTAGAGCTTTCATAAACTTTCTGAACACAGTTTTTGGGGTTCATTTAGATGTACTTCTATGCGAGGAACGTTTAAAAGCGCTTCAAAAGCACCAATCCAAAATAAAGCTTATACTCAAATTTTGGGCACTTGTCTTCAAATATATAAAATCCTAGTTATGTAAATAACTAGATTCTTACTTGTGTGATGCACGTAACAAAATTTATTAAAAAAGAATAGTATCATTTATTATATAAGTATAATGTGTAAATGTTTGAAAAGATAATATGAAGTATATATACTCCATTATAATAAAAGTTATGTTAAGAAAGCAGTGGCGGACCCATAGATTTTTCGAAGGGGGGCGTACTGAAGCTAGGAATTCTTATGTGTTGCTCAAAATGTTGTATAATAGTTGAGGATATTGGACTTATTAGTAGATTTTTTGCTAATATTTCTTTCTCTTTTGTTAAACGATCAACAAACATAATGACTCATGAGTTGGATAGAGTAGCTAGTTTACGTCTGCTTGTCAGTCTTGATTGGGTGTTCCCCCTTCTTGTATTGTTGAAGGTTTGTCCTTCGTTCTGATTAATGCGAATTGAGTTGATTTCCTTAAAAATAAATACTTCATGTTGGGAAAACACGACCCCCAGTCTTTTTCAGGATCACGAGCTCATAGACTCTTGTACACATATATTCACACTCATAATACAAAGACTCAATTTGACAATATCACTTTGTATTACTCTCACTCACTCTTTATATCTGAGACTACTTCACTCTATCTAACTCAATCACATACACTTCATCAAGCAATATTTTTTAGCTTTCTTTTCTCACAAGAAGGCTCTTACTCCCGTCTCTCAAGGAAACTCTCACTTTCACTCACTCAAGAGCTCTTTTCAAGGTTAACATAGAAACAAGAAGCTTCTCTACGCTGATCTCATCAAAGCTTCTCCGGAATTTTTCATACATCACTACACATCTAGATTCTTCCAACAAGTATCCACAAGCTTCTCTAATTTTCTAGAAGGATTTAGAGAACACCACAATTCTTCAAAATGTTCTAGAAGCTTCAACACACTTCCACACGATTTTAATGAGTTTCACACTTCTTTAGAAATCTCCTCATTATTACTCTAGAACATTCAATACTTCCTTACACACATATAGAGAATCTTGGACGCCTCTGAGAATTCTAAAATTCTAATAAATTTTTCCACTAAGGAGGGAATCCAATATAGTCTCGAGAATCTATTGATCTTTTTGTTGAAAGAAATGTGACAACATATTTGTCAAACTAAAGATTTTTTTGTTCACTATAACCACGAAAAGTCAACCGGTTGTGTGTCATTAAAAGTCTAAAACAATTCACACTTTCATTCAAATGAATGAGGTATGTTGCAGCCAATACTTGTATTCCTAGAGACATGTATGTTTTCTGAAAGACTCTGCCTTTTATTTTAACAATTTATCTAAATTATCCTTAATTGATATTTATTTTTGAAAAAAGAAGGGAGCGCATTAATATATTATAAGTAGTAGTACTAATTTTTTTTGCTCGAAGTGGGGGTGCTTGCCCCCTCATGCCCCTTCTCAGCTCCTCCACTGTAAGAAAGGATGTTAGTTAATGTTCTCAATGTTTAGAAAGGGTGATAGTTAATGATTGATTTGTTTGTCATTTTAATTACAAATCAAATTTTCAATTTCTTATATGATTTGTAAATGCAACATAATATTGACCTTGACTCATATTTATAGTCATGACATAATAGGTCATGATCGGTAATTGTAGTCTCTAGAATCAATAATATCAATAATATAAATGTATTTTTGAACCATTACATTAAAAAATATAAATTTTGAATTATTTATAATATATTTTTGACTTAATAATAATAATAATTTTTGGTAGACATCCCATCACATTTTTGGATATTACATTGTTGACGCGACACGTGTTAACACCCAGTACAATATACCATCAATTTGGGTTGGATTGACTTTTGATTATGATTGTGACATTTTTGAGCGGGAAAAATGCCAAACTTTCCACACGGCTTTTTATATATATAGATATAGATTGACAATAAAACTTTGCCAAATCACTTGCAAAGTATTTGTTTGTCAATTACTACGATGACTAGGCTTCAAGTGGAGGGTGACAATGTTATCACAATGAACCCCAGTAGTGGCAGTATAGGTATTTCGTTCGATGTAATGTAACGACTCTTTGTGCGCACTAGATTCTGAACCATTTCATTCAGAAAGAAATTGTTAGAGTTCATATCATGATTACTCATCCACTATTCTATCAGTTTGAGACAGGCGGTTCCACCTTTGGATTGAGGGTGACGATATTATGGATAGGTTATAGTTTATTCCAAAAATATATCAATATTTTCTTTATTTAAACTTCTAGCATATAAATAGTTTAGTTCCTTCTTACAATGAGCGAAAGAGTAGACACATTATACAACTAAAGATTAGGTAACATATACTACATTACTGCTTCCAGTAACAATAACACAAAAATTGTGAAGTTCGATTTGATGCCTTTATTCTTAAATTCTTAAATAGTTGAGGGTATTTTTGACAAACAAATACTGCTTCCACCACTAAAATAAGTTGCCACTTTTGCCATTTGTGGAGTGAAACCGGAACCTTAGCAATATTAAAGATGCAACAAATTCGCACTCTTAAGTGCACTGCAGCCGTTATTTTTCCAAACACAATTTTTTCACTTGTTTCACTGCTCCAAAATTAGCAATATGCTCGAAACACACTGCTGTCACCAGTCTCCCAGTCACAGAGCCCAAGAACTTTATTGTAGTTAATCAAACATAACTTTTAATAAACATGCGTAGTTATGGAAAGATTGATGTTACAAAGAATATATTTTAACTTGAATTGTTGCTCAAAGGGCAGTCAGGGGTAATTTACATTCTAAATGGAGGAACACTTTTTTTTACCTCTCCAGTGGGATTGGGGTGGGGCATTATAATACAAGAGTTTACTCAAACCTCAACACATCCACGTTCTTCAGGCAATTTATGTGGTCTTCGGGCCACTTGACTCATGTTTGGCATACTGCCATTAATTAATCAAATGGAGTTCGTGCTTGATTATGCGAACAATCTAGACAGGAATTACATCAGAATTCTGGCTTTCATCACAAGCCAAGATGAGAGCATCAATATTGCTTGGGGGAAGACAGAGACCCCACTGACAGCCTGTTGAAATCGGTTCACTGGGCGGGACGATCATTAGCACATTAGCCTGACGTCTAACAACACCCATCACACTCACAGTGCTCCCTTCCTTGATGTAGCTGTGTGTTATTACAAGGAGAAACATTCAGATTCACTTGTCTCTCAAAAAAACGTTCAGATTCAATAAGGCTATGTTTGAAACCTGGAAAATGGTAGTAAGGGGGGATTTTGTTTTTTTTAAAGTTCCATTTTAGGTGGAAACACCAAGGAAAATCACACTAGATTTGAAACTTTAGATTTTAAATATTTTTGCAATCCTTTGTATAAAATGCAGCCCGTATGTGACAATTGGACTCGAAGCTGAATTTTATTTAAAAAAATGGACTCCTGCACAACAACAAAAAACAAACAAGAAAAAGAGGGTCTAAAATATTATTTGGTAAATTTGAAACTTTGCAGTTTTGTTTTTCAACCTTGGCTTCGAAATTTCCTGTCTATGTATCTTTTTTCCCATAGACAATTCCAGGTTCCAAACAGGCCCTAAGATGATGGAAAATGCAAAAGTCTAATGTATGTGATCTGGTAGGATTAATTAGATCTACCTCTCCTAAGGTTTGGTCAAATTGCCAAATGACCTCGAGGCTTCTAAATGGTACATATAATCCTTTGACTAGTCAGATCTTTTAACAAACAACCCTTTTAACAGAAAAGTATTATAGAACATAATGATATTAACAACTATTTGGGCGTCTTCAGATTCAAATGTAGTGTTACAAATATATTTTATCAGCTAAAGTATTTCAAGCTTACTGTAACAAGCAATCTTCCAAACAAACATTCAGAGTGATTTAGTTTGAAGAATCTCAATTCATGCTAACATCATAATATCCCACCATCTTTCAATGCCGTTTTCATTTACCCCAGTGCCGCAAAGGCTCCCACCTACGGTGGGGTAGGGGGGGTCGGAGGTACGCAGTCTTACCCCTGTACTAAAGCACAGAGAGACTGTTTCCGGATGACCCATAGTGAAAATCGCGTCCAAAATTGCTTAGATTGACTGCCGCTTCATAACAAAGAAGCGCAGACAATTTAGAGAGCCATTTTGCTTTATTCCATCATATTCTCGAGCCAAAAAAACAATGAATCTTTGGCTCCATTGCAAAAGATGGAACAACCATCTTTCAATGCCATTTGCAAAAAATCTAAACGGCCAGGTGCTTATTTGTAATTTTCAGACACGTCAAGAATCGTTCAGTAATTTAACCAATATCATGGGAAGTAGATGTAATTATAAATTTTGGATACGGAAAAAGGGATATTGCAGAATCCAAAATCTTCATGGGTTGTTTTAGAACAATGCACGCATATTGTGGCTAAAATGCATACGTGCAAAAGATCCTAACAATGCCTTATTCATTACTTACCCTTCCTTAAGGCGCATAATCCTGTCATCGCTTGAAAGGTTTCTATCAGCAAGCCACTGCAAGAAATTAGGAGACAGCTCTCTGTTGCTTTGGGTCACATCAATAACTTTAGATGGTTTGACAAAGGGAGTAACCTTAGCTCCATAACCTGCCTTCACAAGAGCTCTTAATCCAGACTGCAAGTCTGATATGTAAAAGTCAGCCACAAATTTCTGCCAACGAGGAGAAAAAGAACTATGAATTGGCCATTCAAACTAGGAAATGTGAAATCTCAAAATGAGAATAAAAACAAACCTCAGAATGCCTTTTACCCCATGAGAAGAACCGGTGGGTTGAATTGGCGGGCTTTCCTCCCCAACCTCTGTACTCATACAGTTCCGTGGAAACATACACACATCTTAATGTCCTTCGAAATGATGTTTCAAGAGGGATACTACCGCAAGTGACAACCTACAAATGAAGTCAAGTGATAGTGTTAATCACGACGAATGTGATAAATATCAAATCAAAAGCCAACTCAAATATCATTAGTATAATTGTAAGTCATTACGGGAGTGATTTAACATAGTGGATGAGCTGAATGGATGTGAATTTGAACTTGCAGGATAAAAATTCCATAAAAGCAGAATATCAACAGCACAACTATATTTTAATCCATAGGAAAGTTGGAGCAAAAACGCCATTTCTAAAAATATGAATAAGTTCATACTGTTGCAACATCATTAGTCATTACTCTCCGTTATGTAGCTGACATGTTTCCTTTTGTTCTTTTCATCTTTGAATATATAGATTTCATAGTGACATCTTTCTAAACACCAACTATTATCAAAACAACTTTAAGGTCTTTTTGGGGATTTTGGAGAGGGTGGGGGACTGATTTTAGTTTTAGTAATTTATGTCTATGTGTTAGTCTTGGACTGGATAACACCTATTGTATGTTTGGTTTTGATAAAACTCCTTAAATTGGAGTAAAAGATTAAAAAAACTTCTAACAATATCATCATTGTTTTCTTCGTACAACAGGATTGATTCACTCTTAAAGGAGAGAGCTTATTGTTTTCCTTCGTTTATTAGGCCTATAAATATGGCCTATTTTGGGAATAAATCATAATTAATCCTATTTGTGAACTTTATTTATGTTTTACTTCTATTTAGAGCAATTTCTTTGTGTTTTAGACATGCAGTTTCAATAATAGTTCATCTTCAATTTCTTTCCAACAAATCTAAATGTAAGAATAAATATATAAATAAAAAATTGTCACGACTCCCCTACCCTCCCCCCAACTGAATCCCCCGACCAAACAAGGTCTAAGAATCAAGGTGAGACTGCTAGTTAGCATAATCCAATTTCTCATATAAGAATTTCTGTAGAAAGGTGGGCTAATACATAAGCTTCCTGTATGGCTGTATATGCAATAAGGCAAAATTTTGTTCAAGAAACTGTTTTCAATCATTTTTCTACATCTAACTTAAGACTTATATGACCCTATGGTCTATGGGTTTGTTTTACACGACTCACTAGGTCAAATAGAAACCAAGAGAAAAGAAAAAACATAACTTGATCCATGTACTATTAAAAAAACTACCTTGCATGTCCAATAAAAAACTTGTCTGTGACGAAAAAGTCTATGAAGAGAAAGAAGCTAAAAGAACCATATATCATAATGCAGACTAAAATAAAAGCTACTCAGCATATTAACATGACTTGAACCATAATTAAACATAATCTGAAATAAAATTGCAGGAATCTGTAGCTCATAAAAACTTTCTTAACATTAAATGGAAAGGTGGACCGATCGAAATTACCCCGGTGATCTTGACGAACTGTCCATCTATGGCACTTCTAAGCTCGGCGTCAGGAAACTTCTTTAGAAACCCCAATGGGCCACGTGGCTGCACGTCTTTGACCAGTCTAGTGACCGCCCCACTGTAGTGGACCTTCTTATTGAAAGACCCTGACGGCTCGGGATGGCCGGAGCGGCCGCCAGTCGAATCTAACGGGCCCGAATTGGAGGTGATGAGTCCAGTGGGCTGGATAGGTGTCGGACCAGAGAATGACATCGATTTCTTAGGGATCGGGCCGGAGGTGTTCGACTTGTGCCCTTGCTGACCGGAGTTCGGCCTGGATCTGGACGCAGCATTGTTGTGTTGCTGCGAAGACGACGGTGCTCGGGAGAGCGGTTTCTGGACGTACAGTCCCTGGTGGTGTCCACTGGAGGAGTCCACGCCGTACATTTTCCCCAACTCGCCAGATTTCTTGACGTCGCCGCCGGTGTAAGGTACGGCGCGAGAGGTCATGGTAGGCTGCCGCTCCTTGACCTGCTCGGGCCGACCCGAAACGTAGAGCCCGTTTTTGAGCTGGTGTGAGGCCGTCCGGGAGCCCATTTCCTCCGGCGAGAGAACCAAAAGCCGGCAGATTCTAGAGAGAGAAAATGTGGTTGCGATGAGGCTGAAATACGGTGGAAAATGACAGTGCAGGGGCAGTAGAAACACTGAAAGAGGGAGCTGAGAGATTTTGTTTGTACGGCGAATTGCAAATGGAAAAGACGAAAAAGGATCGGAGAATGGATTTAATGACGAGAATACCCTCATTCTTGAGTCAAAGATTACAACCTGTGCGGGCGTGCTGTAGTAACAGATTGGCGCTGAAGTTGCTTCAGGTAGTTGGCGTCGTAGATATTGGCGGGGAAAAAGTTAATCTACATCCTCGCCCCTCCTACCCTTCCTCAGTTCTCGTCCCATTTTCATTATTCCTTTGACTCACTAACTTTGTTCATTATTTTGCTTTTTTTCGTGTGCTTGATCAAGTTTGTTTCGTATCATATTTGGTAATAAATGATTGATTATAATTCGTTCTTACCTGATTCACACTTTATCATTTTAATACTAAACACACATTTCTACTTTTTTCTTAAAAATCAGTCTACACCTCTTTGTTCCAAACATAGGGGACGAAAGTAGTAATTTAGAGCTCGTTCCGCATTGTTTGTTCCTCTATTAAAAAAAAATGTTTCTATTTTAAAAATCATAATGTTGCGTAGTGTTTTAAAATAATGAAAACAATATTCTGAAATACACGAACATGATTTTCACAAATTTATTATTAATTTATTTCCCATACTCACTCTTGTACTATTAAAATCCTACTTCGGACCACCGTCGGACCACTGCGGGAAACCACTAGACAACCGTTGGCTACCAATGGACCACCGTTGAACAGTCGCCAGATCATCGGAGGCCACCAACAGACCATTGATCGGGCGGCTACCAAACCACCGCCCGCCACAAGACCATCGTTAGACCGTCATCGACAGTCGTCGAGCAACCGAACCACCGTCGACCATTGCTAGATCGAAGGACACCGTCGGACCACTCTCGACCGCCATCGCCATTAGACAACCGTTGGCCGCCGCTCGGTGCCGGCCACCATCAACCACCTCTGGGCACTCGCCCGATCAGCGGAAGCCACCGTCAGACCGCCGATCATCGTAGGGTTACCATTGGACCGCCGCCGCCGATCGCCACCAGACTGCCGGTCACCAGTGGCGGAGGTAAGGGAGGGCCAACATGGGCCCTGGCCCAGTGAAAATTTGGCTGATTCCCTTAGGATATACTCCGTATTGGATTGGAGTCACGCCCAGATGGGTTAGAGATTCATAGTGTTGGCCCAGTGTTAAATAAAACAAAGCTCAGCTCCCAATGTTTACAAAGTCACACACTCACGCATCCATGCTTACATGCTACGCAATAAAATATTTTAGGGAAAAGTACGGAAAAAGTACTTGTGGTTGGGCTCATTTTCAGATAAGGTCATGTGTTTCATTCTTTATCAAAGGGGTTCATGTGTTTGAATTCCGTTATCACAAGAGGGTCACGCCGTTAAAAACGTCTGAAAAAGACCGTTAAAAGTAACTCTGATTTTCAAAAGTGCCCGAAAAATTAAAAGAAAAATACCGGAAGGTGCGCCTCAATAAGAGGACCGCTAGACCATCTTTCTTTTTGTTTTCAGCCACCCTTGTAACCGGAAAGTTCACCTGAAAAAGTGATAATAGAGAAATCATTTTTAAAAAATAATTCAAATAGGTCTGAAAAATCCAAAGGCGAAGATGGTTTGAAGGTCATCTTGACGAGGCGCACCTTTCGGTATTTTTTTTTTTTAATTTTCCGGGCACTTTTGAAAATCGGAGTTACTTTTACGATCTTTTTCAGACGTTTTTAATGGTGTGACCCTCTTGTGATAACAGAATTCAAACACATGAACCACTTTTATAAAGAATGAAACACATGACCCTATCTGAAAATGGGCCCAACCTCTTGTGATAACGTATTTTTCCCTCCCAATATTTTAACCAAATTCTAGGTTATGTTTTCAATGTTTTGTGTTGTATTTTCCATGCCTATTTTAAAATTATATTATTACATGGTTTCATTAGATATAAACTTTTATCAACCTGCTATCTAATTAAAAAGGATATTTTTGAGTATATTTTTGAGTTTTTTGTCCTAAATAGGACTAAAATGATGCTTAAATTCTTAAATAAAAGTAAGTATCTTTTATTCTCTAAATGGGATTATTATTCCAATTTTACCCCTCCAATCAATTCTAATCGTGCTATTACACCAACTCAATGAGTCCGGTTGCTAGTATGCGCAACATAGAGCTGGGCGACATCGAGCAAGCACCTGCAGACGGAAGCAAGCAGCGGTGATGAACGGCGGCGAAGTGACGATTCGCAGTGGTAGGCGATGAGCGGCGGCCGGCGATCTGCCTCTTCCTCTCTGTCTCTTCGCCAATCTCATTTAATTTTCTGCAATTTTTGGAGTTTCTGTCTGGATCTGGTTTTGCGGCGCCGAACCCTTGGGGTCTTCCTCAGATTTGCAATCAAGTTGTGTTGTTGGTTTTACTTCTCTTCAATTTATGTTTGTTTCTGAAATCATTCTCATCTTCAAATGAATCTGCCGTTATTTTTCGATTTTTGTATTCTCATTCTTAACTTTAGTTCTTCCTCAACTTTGATTTATGCAACTTTGATTTCAAATGGATCTGCAACCATTTGTTCTTATTTCTCAACTCTGGTTTTCAAAAAATGTCAAATTTTGTTTTAAAAATGCCAGAAAAATGACATTTTTACTCTTGAAAAATGTCATTTTTTACTTTGAAATGCCATTAGTATGTCATTTTTTATGTAAAGTGACATTTTTAGAAAATAGATGGCATTTAATTTTGGTCATGAACAATAGCAGTGCTGGGACATGGCATAGGCGGTGGTAGATGCTGCCATCATGAACTTCCCAGCATCGACGACGTTTATTTCTAAACATGTACATGGAGGTGAGTCGTGAGAATGATCAATAAGGATAAATCTGGAATAGAGAGATTAATTACTCCCGTTTTGAGAAGAGAAAACTTTTACTCCCATTCATGCAATTTAGTTATTATTTAGTCCTATTTAGGGAATAATCCTTATATTTTTTGGTAATTAGCTTTATAGTGAAGTTGAATTATACTTCGTACAGATTTTGTAAAATATCCAAATGTAAATAGTTAGATTTGAAATACTCGTTCTCTCTATTCTCTAATAACTATTATTTCTTTTTGGGTGGTTTTTTTATTATTTGTCTAATTTTTCCACTTTTAGTAAGTTTTTCCTATCAAAGTACATATATATCCTCAATTTTACTATCCTTACCTCTTTTTACTTTTTATAAACTACTTTCTTCTTTTCCTACTTTTTCATTACTTTTCTCTTCTTAATATACTCTTTTCACTACTTTTTAGTTTATCCTAAACCCTCTGTATTATCTCCACTATTTTTTCTTAAAACCCGTGAAAAATCTAAAGAGACAATTATTTGAGAACGGAGGAGGGAGTAACATTTTTTAGTGGAAAACCAGCCCATCCCTACTTCTTCTCCTGGCTCCGCCCCTACCGGTCACCACCAGATTGCCACAGGACACCATCATAACACTGCCGTCAATTGCTGCCGGGCCACCACCGAACGACACCATAGACCATACCGACATTGCCGTTTGCCGAAATTTTTCTGGGTTTTTCTGCCGCTAATATGCTACCACACTGCCGTTTACGGAGTAGTATTTACTATTTAGAGTAGTTTTTCTCTTAGAAAATGATATCAAAAGAGTTTTTCTCCATATGCACGAAAATAATTATTTGATTCTAGGAATATCAAAAGTCAAAATGAATAAACACTAAAATCAAAAGAGTTTCAAAAATTGGGGAATAAAAAACAATAAAAAGTTTTTGTTTTCTAGAAGTGTGATAATTCAGAAAAACTTTGGTGAACACAATTTATTTTAGTATCTCTCCGTGTTTCTTTGAGATTCGGTATTTAGAAGATAATTACATTATGCTTTGGCACAATATATTAGTGAGAATAACATAATATGAATAGTGTAGGAAAAGTAAGAGAAAATGTGTAAAAATATGACAAAAGAGGATAGAAAGTAGAAAAACTAAGGGTAATTAAGTACTTTCAAACGAAATACTTACCATAAAGAGTTAATGTAGTAAATTTTTAAATGCATCATAAATTGGTAAGTATAGCAACCTTTAAAATACCGAGAGAGTATATAGTACTATCTTCAGTGACATGAGGAGGTGACCAGTTATTAAAAAATAAATTTATGTGGTTGATATTGAATTGATAAATTAATTTAAGAATAAAGCGAAAATGTTTTAGAACCAAATAACCTTTATCTAATTTAGTGTGAGACATTCTTAATGAGACATACTGAAAAGGAAATATTAGATAATCTTAACAGGATAGATGTAGTACATATGAATGCTTTACCGAACCAGGGGTAGGCAAAACTGAGGGAGAGTTGGAAGATGCTAAGTATAAATCGAGTAAGAAATTTAGTAGAGTAACGGTAAGCTTGAGAATTCAGAATGTGGTCCTTGTCCACAAGCTGAAAGGTGATATTTATAATGTACAAAGAATACCTGAGGAACAATCTTTGCATGAGGTCTAGGAAGCTCTTCTCTTCGTCTGATCTGAATGTTTCTGATATGAATTTATTAAGTTCTGAACTGATCTGATCTGAATTTTTCTAATCTGATCTGAATCTTTCTTAATTGAATCCTTCTGATCTGATCTGAATCTTTCTAATCTGATCTCAATCCTTCTGATCTAATCTGAATCTTTCTGATCTGATCTGAATATTTCTTTAATTATAATTGTAATTATAAATATAATTTAAATATAATTTATAATTATAGTCATATTTCTAAAAATATTTAATTATAATTATAATTATAAGTAGAGTTATGAAAAATTATACCTACTACATTGATTATAATTAATAACTATTATTATAATTGTAATTATATTTTTAATTATAATTATTTCTATAATTATAATTGTAATTATAAATATAATTACTCTGTATAATAATAATAAAAATAAATAATAATAACAATAATAATAATAATAGTAATAATAATAATAATAATAATAATAATAATAATAATAATAATAATAATAATAATAATAATAATAATAATAATAATAATAATAATCATAATCATAATCATAATCATAATCATAATCATAATAATAATAATAATAATAATAATCATAATCATAATAATAATAATAATAATAATAATAATAATAATAATAATAATAATAATAATAATAATAATAATAATAATAATAATAATAATAATAATAATAATAATAATAATAATAATAATAATAATAATAATAATAATAATAATAATAATAATAATAATAATAATAATAATAATAATAATAATAATAATAATAATAATAATAATAATAATAATAATAATAATAATAATAATAATAATAATAATAATAATAATAATAATCATAATCATAATCATAATCATAATAATAATAAACATAATCATAATAATAATAAACATAATAATAATAATCACCTCAATAATAATCATAATATTAATTATTATTATTATTATTATTATTATTATTTTATAAGAATAAAAGTGATAAATCATGTTTGAAATTTTCTGATCTGATCTGATCTGAATCTTTCTGATCTGGTCTGAATGATTCTGATCTGATCTGAATCTTTTTTATCTGATCTGAATTTTTTTTATCTGATCTAATCCGAATAAAATAAGAATAAACAATAAGTAATAAGAATAAGACGAACAGAACAGCACCTAGGGCTCGATCGTAGAGGTCGAGTTCAGACGCAGTGTATTTAGTTGAGAGGTAAGTAACAGCGACTCGAAATGTGAATTGGGAATGTGTTTATTGGAGAATTCCCCCGAAATATTATTAAAGTAAGGCTAATTTCTATATAAAAAAAGTAACAACATTTATATTTGGACATAAATAAGACTAAAAAGTATATTTGAAGAAATACAAAGTGACTGCCAAATATTCATTTAAATGCCTCATTTCCATGTCACTGTCAGATGCCGCCACTGACCGTGTCACCTCCGCCGCCCGTACTGCCACCACAGTGACATCTTCGCAATGACATCTCCTCAGTGACAACTCTGCCCCAACCTCTGGCCACAGTGACATCTCTGTCGCAGATCACAGTTGCCGGCCACAGTGACGCCTCCATAGTAACATATTTGTCGTCGATGTCAGTGTGATTAGGGGTGGGAAAAAATACCGAAATTTCGGTATACCGGACTTACCATATCGAAAAATATCGAATTTACCGAAGTGTTTGGTATACCGACACTTTTGGTACGGTATGATACCGAACCGAATTACTTCGGTATGGTATCGGTATATATTTTGGAAATAAACGGTATACCGTTATACCGTCATACCGTAATTCCAAGCCAATAATTTCTTTAAAATTATAAAAATAACTTGAAACACAACATTAATTCAAGGATAATGACTTTATATCCATGTTTCTTGAATTATTTATACTTTTTGTTGGAAATTGGTGTTATTTCAAATATATTTATGTTGTTTAAATTATTATTTTAGCAGAATGTGTTGTTATCTTCATATATTATGTGTTGAAGTATCCGTACATATTTATAATATTTTTTTGTTCAAAGTTGAATAGAACACAAATAGGTTATCATTGACATTTTATAATTAATTTCATTAATAATTTTAGTATATCACTATTAACACTGATTTTCTATATTTCATTTGATATATAATAATTTGATATTAAATCATGATAATTTACCGATACCGTAGCTTACCGTACCGAAATTTTGGTATACCGAAATTTAGGTATGGTAACGATATGTATTTTTGCATATCGAAAGTTTACGGTATGGTAAAGGTATGAGATAAAATCTTCGGTATACCGTACCGAACCACCCCTAAGTGTGATTGCCGGAAACGTAAATTTCAATCAAATATGGCCGCCACCCTGACGCCACTGCCACTGTCGCCTCCCCACACCTGCACTCAACCTCTTCACACGTGGCAATCGGTGTCGCTGACAGTCGTCTCCTTAAAAGTGACCACATCAGCCCCCTCCCCAGCCCCCCTCCCAAGTCTACTGGTCCCTTTCCGATCCCCCGGGCCCCAGCTCCTCCACAGTCGTTGTTAAACACCACACCCTTCCCCAACCCTGTGATGGCCACCCCACCACCATGCAACCACTGCCTATCACTCGAGGCAACCGTATCCAACGACATCGGATCTCAAACACTAACCGAAGCGTACGACCGCCGCATTCACTAGATCCATCTCAAACCTTGATTGTCGCCTTCATCGGCACCTATGTCGCGAACCATTGCCGTGAAGCACAGATCCAGCCACGCAGCCACGCCATTCAGAACCCTAACAGGAGTCGACGATCGACGAAGGAGAAGAAGATGAAAGGAGAAGAAGCTAGAGCGACGAACCTAATTGATGGAGATGGAGGGCCGGGAACAGATCTGGTCGATGGCGATTATGGCGAGTGGCAACACAACAATGATTGCTTGGCGACAGTGGTGACGAGGCGGTGATGGTCCGGTGATGGTGGCAACACGAAGGAGACTGCCTGCCGCTGAAGGCGTAGGTAGGCAGCCAATGGAGGAACAATGGAGAAATGGAATAGATTTAGTGATGAAGAAGGAATGACAAAGGAGAGAAGTTTGGATCTCTGTAATTAGTCATTTCTTTATCAATTTCTAAAAGCGAGAAGGTATAAATATATCCTTGAACTATATGTTAGAGAGAAAATAAACTCCTCAACTTTCATTTGGAGCAATTAAGCACAATAATGATAAATTTAGAACAAATATGCCCTTTTGTCCCAATGGGCAATGATCAAGGGGTATATATATTTTCTGGTATATAGTTAAGTGGTATATGTTCTCTAATAAAGGTATATTTGTTCTAAATATAAAAACTAGGTGTTTAATTGTTCCAAAATGAAGTTGAAGGGTATATTTGCTCTCACATATAAAGTTTAATGATATATTTGTTTGTTCCTTCTACAATTCTTAAATGGTCATATTGTTGTTCATTCAAACTTTATAGGTAATATTTTTGCCATTCTTTCAAATTAAAAATATGGTATGCATCCATTATATCTTTTCAGTCAAAGAAATGAATTTAATTTATCATCCACCATGTTACGTAACCCGTTACGTTTTACGGCGTATGACTTTATGTTAAAAATTGTTGTATTACTTTTATGAAAAATATCACATATGCGCTTCACTTCATAATTCCTTCATAGGTAACGTAGTACTAGTATTTTAAAAGGAAAGTCAGGGAAATATTGACATGTATGAGGGCCAATAAATTGAGTTGTAAATGTTTGACTTGCTTATGTTATTTGATAGAAATATGAATAATTAATAATTGAACAAGATTCATTATAATTTATTTAGAATGACAAGTCATATGACGCTTTTTGAATTTTTTAAAACAAGTCATATGTTTGTAGGACTAAAATATTCACAGAGTAATATTGATGGGAAAAAAGTCATTGTTCATTGTAGGACTGAAATATACGGTGTATCAGTTTTTTCAAAAAAAGAATCATAATTTTTTCAAAATACGACTAAACATTACTCTTTTACCCCGAACTTAAATAATTAATATAATTAATTGCTCCTAGTTCTCTTGCATAATTACTAATATCAGTCCGACTGTTCGGCAGTCTTGACAACGACGGATTCCGACAGATAGGCGACAACATCACAACAATCTAGGAAAAAATCCGGTGGCCGACGGTGGCCGCGGGCGATTTGAGAACAGCGGTGCTCCAACCTTATGAGCCTACTTTTGTCCAATCACAAATAAAAAATTTATCTATGATATTTTGAATTAGTGAGTCATATTGTAGGAAAATGAGGTTGTTTTGATTAATCTCCAAGAAATTATCAATATCAATATCTCATGAAAGTAACGTTACTAGTACATTATTATTATTCCTTTCTCCTAACAACATTTAAGAAAAAGTAAAAGCATAATAATTAGAAAGAAGATACATAGACTTAAGCATCGACATTTATCTTTATTTAAGCTTTAGCATCACATTCTTTGTTTTTCAATCCTCTAATATACGATTGGGGGCGGTCTATTCAAGGCAGAACTTTTAACATTTAAACCAGTCTCATATCATTCAAGGACAACTCATTATAAGAGGCCATACAGCTAAATTGGCTGAAAAGCCCTAATCAGGCAAAAAATACACCAAACATAACTTATTTGGATGTTTCGGTTGTGAAGGCTTTTCAGCTACTTATTCTGATGATATAAATTTATGAAGTATTGTTCATTCAAGAAGTACAGTTTTAACCTTTTGTATTTTGCTTTAATTATGCACAAATAGTCAAGTACCACCGCATACCATTTTGAGTAATTATTAAAAACCTTTCGATCATCACATGATAATTCTTAAATTTAATAAAAGGGGAATTTTGTTTGCCCAAAACGGGGAAGATCGAGGTAAGTGATTAACATCTTAATCTTAAATTCTTTGAGGTGTTTGGTCGCCAATACACTAATTTTTTTTAGCATTATATTGTATCATCCAGTCTCATTCAAGAATTAAGGACAAGTCTTTAAGTTTGGAGTAATTACAAAGCAAGAATATTTGGGGACATTTTGAGTAATTAGGTACTCAATTAGCAATTTCTGCCAAAATACGTATCAAACACTTTTAGTTCATGAATCGAGTGATTTAATATATTTTAGCTTTATTTTGTTTTAAGGTGCTTTTTTTTTGGGCAAAGGTGTTTTTAAAAAAAAAAATCTATTTGAGCATATATATCCAACGGAGTCTAAATAAACCGTCTCAACATCATAGTGAGTAGTAGTCATTTACAATGATCGAAGAGATTAGAATAGTTTTTAGCAACAATTAGAATAATTGATCATTCGATAATAAATATTTGAAATTTGAAACTTTTGGGAATAATATAAGTTAGATTTTTTGGTTATTAATAATAGGGAAAAAGTACATATATACCCCTATATTATAGGTGCAGGAACAAATATACCCCTGTTCTATTTTTCGGAATAAATATACCCCTGAACTTTGAAAAAGGTGCAAAAATATCCCTCATGTTCTTATAAAGGAGCAAATTAATCCTTATTGACTTTAAATTAATAAAATAAAGTTCAAAAACACCAAAAAAATAAAAAATCGAAATTAAAATATTAAAAAAAAAATGTAATTGTGTCCAATTCTCCCTTTTTGTTTTTGTATCACAATTAAATATTTTTAGTATATAAATTCACTTTTTGTAATTTTGGGTTATTTATCATCATTCAAAATATGTAATTTTATAGTGCAAAAAATGCAAAAATAATTTTTTTACATTGCAACACATATGTTAGCACATTTTCCAAAGAATCTTAAATATATAGTAAAATTTTAAAATAATATTTATACTAAAAATATTTAATTTTTTAATTCTTTTTATATTTTAATTTTGAATTTTTAATTTTTTGGTGTTTTAGGAAATTTTGTTTTATTACTTTAAAGTCAATAAGAATTAATTTGCTCCTTTATAAAAACATGAGGATATTTTTGTACTTTTTTCAAAGTTCAAGGGTATATTTGTTCCAAAAAATATAATAGGGGTATATTTGTTCCTGTACCTATACTATAGGGGTATATATGTACTTTTTCCCTTAATAATATACCCATCCTAAAATGAAGTTCTACTTTACCCTTTGGAGTTAAAACTTATTAACTTTGACAGTCGTTTGCTTACAAATTATGCTAGACTAGCTAAAATACGAAAAGCTATTAACCAATAGGTTTTAGCCTATTTTTACCGAAATGGTTTTTTATCTAAATCATTTGACTGTTTTCCCGTTTAAATTTTTATCTAAAATTTGATATAAGTAAACTAGATTTAAATTTGATATAGCTAAAATTTAAACTGTCTACCAGAGTATTAATTAGTTATGCCTTTTCTCTTGAATTAAAATAGAATTTATTCAACACATTTTAAAAATTACAAATATACAAATGATTTATTTATATCTATGAAGTAAGAGTAGTTATAAAATTTTCATTATTAACAATGATAAAATATTTATTACAATAAGTATTATCATGTCTTTATATGTCTTTTTACAATATCAGCCATTTTGAAACAGCCAATTTTACCAAACAATTATTTATAACTAGCTAACATAATCAGTCGGTCAAAACAGCTAACACAACCAGCTATTAGGAAACAGCTGACACAACCATCTAACAGCAACAGCTAACAACCATTTACAAACAAGGCCATTATATTTTAACATTAGTTATTTAATATATTTTGATTTGTTTAGTCACTTATGCTTTTTAATAAAATGTTTTTCATAGGTTGTTTTGAGTCTCATATCCGGTCAGTTCATATTAGGCATGGATCGGTTTCTGTCCAGGCCGGGCCAGGCTCCGGGCCGGTTCAAACCGGGCCTTTTTTTGGGGGGAAGGCCCGGAGCAGGCTCGGGATTCCACGGGGTCCGGGCCAGGTCGGTTCAATTTTTTTTTTGCTTTTCTAAATAACCCCCCCACCCCACCCCCCCACCCCAAACCTCCCCAAAACACCCAGCCCGAACCGGGAAAAACAAAAAAAAAATTGAAAAAAAAAGACCCGAACCGGACCCGGCCGAGCCGGTTCCTATTTTCCATGACCCGGGCCGCTCTTAGTAACACCCAGTTCGGGCCACCCGGACCGGTCTAGGGCCTGGTTTCTGGGCCGGTTCCAAACAGTGTCGGGCCAGGCCGGTCGGTTCGGAACTGGTCCATCCCTAGCTTATATGAGATAAAATTACATTAGACAAGATCAACTTAGATAATAATAAAGTATACATCTATTGTTTTATATAGTAAAACTGAGTTATAAAATGGTGAGATCTCATTATGTGATTGGTTAATGAATATATTATTTATCAAAAATCTTTAATTGTAGCATTTAATTAATTAATACTCCGGTAATTCATTACCGGAAAACAAGCAACTAACTTGCTCTTTATTTGGCTTAATTGAATGCACAACAAGAATTTAGGACTCTACTTAATTAGCACGAAGTATTACTAATATTAATTTATAGAACACCATAACAAAAAAGAAGTAATTCATTCATATTATACAAGACTAACAATATTTACTTTGTATTTCATCCATTTATAGATCGAACAGTGTAACAAAAAACAAGTAATTCATCCATATTCATAAAACTCAGTGATTTCTACAACTAATTATACAACCACAACGTCACGAACTTATTTATTTCTTCCTATAGTCTTCCTTTTAATTTTGTATTTTCTTATCCTTTTATACAAAACAATACATACATAAAAAACTAAATGATAATCTCTATATTCAATTTATCAACCTTATTTGTCACCTTTATATATAATATTTAATTTTTTATTTCACGAGTTGATTTATGTAATAATCAAAATAAATAAAATTGAAATTACTTTTCTAGCTGAATTGACTGAAAGTGCTGAAAATGACCATTTTAGCTATATTTATGTACAATTTTATAAGTTTTTCAAAAATATTACTAAAATAAAACTAAATTACAAGAATATGATTATTAAAGCTACTATGACTATAGTCTAATGGTTACTTAAGTGTAAATTTGAACATAAGTTACTATGACTAAAATGACTACTATAGTCATTACATAAGAGGTCTCATTTCAAACCTTTATTATAGTCCTGAATTATGATTATTTCATAATTTTATCTTTGTTTTACAAATAAAATATGTTTTCAATTTATTTATTTCAAAATTCAATGTATTCAATCAATTCGACTTCAATTTCATCAATTTGAGTA